ATTTTAATTATTTTAATTAATAAAATATTTCAAACACAAGCTTGAGCACAAATAATTGAATTTTTGTCAAATATAATAATCGAATTTATTTTTACATGTTAATCGAGCCAAATTGAGAGAGCTTGAGTAGTTCAATTTCTATCTTGAATCGAGTTCGAACTAAAAAAATAAAAATTAATCGAATTCGAGCTGAATTTCGAGTAGAACTCAAATTTAATATTACATTGACTTAAACTCGATTGATTACACCTATATACTAGATTGTGTATTATGAACATATGTACTGGATTCAAATGATAAATGCCTATGTATGTTTTACTCAAAGAATTAAGTTCCAATTTAATATCCGAACAAAAAACTTTTGCTTCTTCACAATTAAACAACAGTAATTAGCTCTAGTTTAATTAATTTTGGTTTCTGATTTTTTTCTTTTTAAATCAGTTTAGTTACATGCACATAATAAATTGATGGCAATAGTGGCACGCTAACACCGTCAGCCAAAAGGCCAAAGGAAAAAAGGAAGGTTGATAAAATAAACCTCAAATTATGAAAAAATTTTCCTTCAAATCTTTATTCTTTTATTTATTTCAATCAAGCCATCAATTTATTAATTGATATCAAATGAACTCAATTTAGATGGAAAACCCATGCATGACAAGTCTTATTCCGACATATGTGAATTAACTAGCCCGTTAGCCACGTTACCTTTTCCATACAAGTTGGATACTAGGTTGAGTGGTCAATTGGCACAATTAAAAAGAAGGGGCTTAAGAAAAAACTTTACGATAATTCAAGGACTTATTTATTGTTACGGGTACAGGGGGGACAAACTGGCATATTCAGTTCAGGTCAGATTTTAACTGTTTTGGATTCAAATTGTTTCAAGTTCAAGACTGTTTTAGGTTAAAGACTTTTTAAATTTAAATCTCTTCAAAATTGGATTGAATTCGAATTAATCAAGTTATTTTTAAAATTTTATATACAGATATAACTATTTTAATATGCTTTTTAAGTTTAAATCAACTTTAAATTCAAACTTTTTTCAAATTCAAATTATTTTGAGTTCGATCAATTGCAAGTTTTAATTATTCATGACTTTTCTTTTATCAAATCAAGTTGCGTTTTTATATAGGTTTTAGGTTATGAATCATTTTGCCACAATTAGTTATGCCAAATAGAAAAGTGTTAATAAAAATAGTTTATGTATTATATATTTTTTATCAGCTTTATCCTTAAAAAAAAAATTGTGATTAGGTATCCGAACTTTCATTTTGTCATATATTTTGATATTTTCGATTAATGCCGTTAATTAAATTATTGACGTGACATGAATATCCAACAAAATTATGTCACATGTAAAAAAGTTTAATTATCACTACATCATATATTATTACATTAGCATTAAAAGAAAAATTTTTAAAAAAATTTAAAAATGAAAAAAAATCAGATTTTAATTTTTTAGATTTTTTTTTGAAACATTTTGACTTCTTTTTATAAATTTACAGATTTTTTTGAATTTTTTTTCAAAATTTTTAAAACTTTTCTTTTAACGTTGACATGGCAATTTGATGATGTATACTAATCAAAAACTAAACTAACGGTAATAGTGCAAAATACTCAAAAGAATACAAGCATAAATATCTAATTGCAAATTTTTATTCTTTAGATATCAATTTAATAAAAAGTATATAGTAATTTTGTAAATTTTAATAAGAAGCAAGTTATAAGGACAACTAGATGGGAGGAGATGGATTCAATTGGTTTTGTAGGACAATAAATCCGGGTCTCTTAACTTAAGAATCATGTTCTTTGTTCTTATACTACATATCATCGTCAATGCCTTATAATTAAAGTTGTCCCAAGAAATTTATTTAGACACATTTGGAAATAGGATCTCAAAATTGCTCGCCAAATATCTTTTATTTGAAAAAAATTTATATGAAACGGTAATTCTACCAATATATATGTTTTCTTTCAAATTATGGCACGTAATCATATTAATGAAAAAAGTCGATCATTTATTATATATTACATGAATGAGTATGTTAAAATAAATATTTATCATTTGATTATCATATGTAATGTGTAATAAATAGTTGGTTTTTTCTAATAATAGAATTGCATGACATATTTGAATGGAAGAGACATGGAGTGACGTAGAATAATTACTTCATACAATCATTTTTTCTTTTAATTTTGTTATATGGGTAATGTTTAGTTTAGTATATTTTGTAAAATCACAATGGTAATGTAATCATTGAAGTGATCTTATTATCAAGGCGATTTTATCACTCATAATTTGAAATTACTTTATTTGTTTAACAATCGTTAATTTTTAAGAATTGAAGGTCGCTTACTTTGATATTCTTAAAAATCAAACATTATTTTATTTAAAAATATGAAATAACCATGCTTATTATAATATTTATACAAGTTAATAATTTTAATGTCATTTAAAGATAGTAATTTATAAAATATCAGTAATATTTTATTTATTTTATAATAAAATATAATTAAATTAATAAATATATTAATTAATAGATAAATTGGTTTTAAGTATAAGTTATATAAAAAATTTTGAATTAGAAAATAAAACTAATATGTTTAAATTCATAATAAAAGACAAAATTATATTATATATAAAATTTTTAAAAAATAAAAAACATAATTTATTTTTTAACTTGTTAATATTAATTTGAAAATATAAAATTCATAATATAAAATAATTACAAAATAAAGAGTAAGAAAGTTTTTAATTTACATATTAAATGGATAATATTAACTATTATTAATTTTATATATTATTTCACTTTAGGCATAAAAGTTTCCCGTTCTTTTATATGAAAATTAGATCACCTTTTAAGACAGTGATCTAATTACACTTAGTGATTTAACATCACTTTTATCTAAGATCATCGGATGCTTATCAAATACAATGATTTAATAATCATGTAGAAATCATCATAATTTTTGAAATGATCATCCCATGCCAATTAATACCTTGAAATTTTATTGTTTTAACGTGGAGATTTTGGAAATCAGCTGCCAAGCTCTTATTTATTTATTTATTTAGTTTTCCAATATAGGATGGCATGAAACGGCACCCTTATTCAATGAAAAAGAACTAAAGTTTAGAATTCAAAGTGAGGAGAGAGCAAAGACAGAGAAGAGCAGAGTTGATGGTTGGAGGGAAGAGGAAAATAGAAAGAGAGAGATAAAGAAATTGGGAAAATCAAAGGTGAGTTTGCTTGACGTATATATTTGTGATTCAATTCTTAGTTATCTTACGATTTATTTTTTCGTTTTGTGAAATTTATTACAAAACAAAAGTAAAAGATAAAATTAAAAATCAGTATATATATAAATATTAAACAAATATAAAACTGATTAAAATAGATAAAGAATTAAAATATAATAGTAATTATAATAAATTTATATAATGTAAAATCATACATTTTATTAAAAAATTACATATTTTATTTCATACATAATCTTTCATATTCAATTTTATTCTTGAAGACAAAAAAAAAAAGTAGGAAAAAGTATAACAATAAGATCAAGAGATGAAGCCTATAATAAACTATACATATATATGTTGTCTTTTGACATTCATCTAGGTGAGCAAGAAAGAGTTGTACTTTATAAATTGTACTATTTCCTTTTGCTCATCATGCCATATAAACTTCCATGCTACATTACAAATTCTGCCATAATTGTTACACTTTTATTTTATAAAAAAGATTGATACTACTTGAAAAACTACATTCCCACTATAAATGTGTTAAAAGAGAAATGAAGAGAAACGAATATGACGTAAAACAGAAAAGAATATTAATGTGCACTATCATAAATAATGCTAGCTGTACTTCTCCAATTAAACTCTCAAAAGTTCATTCAATTTCGGGTGATGATTATATGGAGACTAGCCACAATACATAAATAGATTTCATCTTTTCATGGAATTGGAAAGGCATTATAAAACCCATGTTGAAAGCTTTTGTAAATGTAATTGTTTTTCAACTTTCTTTGAAAAAAAAAAAAGAGGCAAAAAAGCCCCATATTGCTTTGATGATGATTTTTTTCCCATTCCCATTGTGATGAACAAACTTTGTTGAGTTGTCTTCATCAGATATGCAAAAATCTAAAAGGAATTAACTGTTCAGTTATGAACATTTCTGGTTATGAGTGTCATGAAATTATTGGCCTCTAAGGTGAATTTCAAGTTCACTGTGGGTGAAAAATAAGCATAATATACATAATTAATGTGGAAGTTGCATATGTATATATATATAGCTGCACAACTAGAATTATGCTCACAAACTTACCATTTAAACAAAGCAACCTTACACCAAAACCAGTTTTGACAGCAATTATTTCTTTTTTTTTTTTTCTTTTATACAATGGGGTTGCAAATGTTTGTTAAGATTCGAACATCAAAACTATTAGATGCCATATCTTAAGAGTAACTGTTTAAATCAATTGAATTAAATTTCAAAATTTTTAATTACAATTATTTCACCAACTACCTCTTACACAAAATTAATTTAATTCTCATTTTCATCACTCAATTAAACTGTATAAAAGAAACTAGCTACTTCCAAACTTGCTCAAATATAAATAATGGAAGCTGGTTGTGGAAGGATGAGAACCTCAGATAGAAGTAATAGACTATTATATGCATAAAATTGGTCATACGAGAGAGAGAGAGAGACGAAAATGGGGTGGAATTAAAATAATATTAATCGAAAATATTAATTAATAGACAATGAGTCAATGGCCTCACACTCAGAGTCATCAGTTGTTAATTGTTTATGTATATATAAATAGCACGCTCTATCTTGCATACATAAAAAAAGTGACTTCTCATCTGTAACCCTAAAAAAGAAACCTACTTTTCTTTTTTAATTCTCTCTTTGAGATAATATCTTCTTCTTATGTTTTCTTAAACCAGTGATGATATATTCTTTCTTGTGTCATTGATTGGTTGTGACTATTTGGTTTTTGTGATGGGAAAGTTTAGAGGTAATAGCAGTGATACTAGTGAGAAAAGTTGCCATAGAGGGCATTGGAGACCAGCTGAAAATGAGAAACTAGAGCGGCTTGTTGAACAGTATGGTCCCAAGAATTGGAATTTCATTGCACAACATTTTGAAGGAAGATCAGGTGACATATCAACTTAGATCTCTCTTCAAATTTCCCTCTCAAAATTGCTCTAGTAATTTTAAGAAATATATTTTAATTCAATATCTTGGTATGTTTGTAGGGAAAAGCTGCAGACTAAGATGGTACAACCAACTTGATCCTAATATCAACAAAAAGCCATTTACAGAAGAGGAAGAAGAGATGCTCCTCACTGCTCATCGGATTCAAGGAAACAAATGGGCTTCTATAGCTAGGCTATTCCCTGGAAGAACTGATAATGCTGTCAAGAATCATTACCATGTTATCATGGCAAGAAGAAAAAGAGCAAAATTGTTCTTCTATTGCAAGAGAAATGAACAAAGGAATCCTGATCATTCCAATGGAAACAATATTAGTGGCAAATTTGAAAGGTTTTTGAGGCCTCAACCAAAGTGTGGTTCTAAGTTAGGGTTTTGCAGGTATCATGTCACTGAGAGACAAGGTGTGACCTTACTATCTTCTTCATCAAGTTCATCACCTTCTTGGCTGAGTGGATCAATAATCTCAAGAGATTCCTCAGGCTATTATGGCGGAGAAATAAAGGATTATGTCAGGACAAGCGATCAGGACGATCTATTTGTTAACACATCAGGCCACAATAGTTTCATTGGACCCAAGGCTGTTCATCTTCATCATTCATTCACATTCTCAAATTTTGGTAATGTTTTTGGAAGTGAAGGTGGAAACTACTGCAGGAGACGTGTAGTGAAGTTCAATGATAACCAATCTGCACCCTGGAATCTACATATAGTATCTCGGCAAAATCAAGGAGAAGGATCGATATTGAAGCACAAGGATGTTCCCTTGATAGACTTTCTTGGTGTGGGAATCTCTTAGTTTCTGAAGCTCTTTGGCTAATCTTTTTATGCTTAAATTTCCACATATATATATATATATATATTCTTATCTAGCTAGCTAGGAATTAATTATATGCAAAAGAAAATATGAGGGCTACAAAGTCTTGTTAGTATTTCGTTTTAAACATTAATTAGATGGAACTTAAAAAAATTCTTTCAGTAATCACAATTAATATTTGTTTGCTATGTTTCATATGTGTAACTACTAAGGAATGATTAATTTTTAGTGTATTAAATAAATTCTCTTCAGTATGTATATATATATATATGTATGTATGTATGTATGTATGTATGTATGTATGTATGTATGTATGTATGTATAAGGTACTGCTCTTTTGGCTTTCTCTCATGCCATGGGCAAGTCATCAACCTGGCATTTCCTTATATGCACACATAAATTAATTTAAAAAATTGAATCAGCTCTTTTTCTAAGCCATGATTTTATTAATGAACCAGAGATAGAAGTTACAGCAAGAGTTCAACACAGCTAAGAATGCTCCATGCCTAGTTCTTGGAACTAACAATTTTATACGTTTAGTCATGCACTAATTCATACATAATATTTCATTTAACTAAAAGGTTATTTAGAAGTGATCGACTCGTTTACTATTAAAAGGTTATTTAGAAGTGCTCCTTTGTGATTTTGTGTCTTTTATCTTTTTATGAGTACTTTAAAACCAAATCCTTTGTTCCTAAAAACAGTATTACTTTCATTCGTATAGATGAACTCAATCATAATATAAGTTCATTAAAAGTTTTTGACTCAACCTCTTCTTATACGAACGGTTTTAAACACTCGACTTCCTTGAGATATTTTAATTTATTTAAGTGTTTGTAATTACATTCAAATGATGTATTTGAATTCGTTAAAATTCAAGACTAATGATCAATTAAACATTGAGTTCGAAATTTCATCATATGTTACTTAGATAAATGAGTTTGAATCTATCCCTTTGGAAGTTCTAGACGTTATTTTACAATTCCTTTATCTAATGATTTGTTTTTCCTTCGTCTTAACAATGTATATAGCACACACCACTTGCTAAATTTTTACACATATTATGCTTTAATCAATATGTTTAGATTTTCAAATACTTGGCTTTTATCCTTTAATATTGTAACTTCACTATCACAATATATTTTGTAAAATCATCAACTTAGGCCTTAAAGAAAATTTTAATTAATTACTTACTTATTATCTCTAATATTATATATTTAGCTAAATTAGTAGAATTTTAATATAATTTTGTTTTGTTTTTTTAAATTCCAAGAAACTTTACTTTTATCATACATGTATAACAATTATTTCTGGATTAATTTAATGCCATGTCGGTAATCTTACTTGCATTGGTCTATCATTTTATATACAATGTATAATGTCATATTATAGTGTCTTAAAGACCATCTCAATTTAATATATGTTGAGTTATATATCTACTAACCCGTTGTTTATATAACACGAAAGTAATATTTCACTTTGTGCATATCTTAACATACATCAAACATTTAATTATTTTTTTATATTCTATTGTGTAATCAATATTTTTTTTATTGATATAATGTTGCATCCATTGCACAACATTAGATTTTTTTAAAAATCATTTTAATATAGTGAGATTGGAAAAATTCATCTGTCATTTTCAAACTCTTATTCTTAAAATCACATAAAAAAAACTTTTGTTTTTTATAGTAAAATTTGCTAAACAAAAGATCCTTCAATACTTTTAATTTATTCTTAATTCATATAAAATATGTCATCTTTATATAATTAAACGATGACGTCTAGTTGAATTTACTATTATATATTTAATTTTCGAAATTCAAGAGTAAGAAACAAGCAAACTAGTCAATATGTCGAGGATGAGGTTGTGGTGAACGACGGTTCATTTAATTCAATACAATATCGTAAGTTAATATGATTCCCCTATTCAATTCAAGTTTCCTTGCCTTGATGCAATGCCATTGGAGAAGTAAAATTTTGATGCCAAGCGTAAATTTAGATTCCAAAATGGACCCAAAATTCAAGCCTGCCACACGACTATAGTTGCATCAAAAATAGCATGAAGAGAAAAGTTTGCCAATAGGAGTAAGGCAATCTCACCTTATCCACACTCTAAGCCACAATCTCTTATCCAATTCATCGTCTCCTTTTGCCACATCACTCTTTATCAGATATGCTCAATCACAAATCTATTATACTCTAAGACTCTTTGAAAAAGCCAATTAAGCTTCTTTTTTTGTAGTAAACAAAGTCCCTTTTGCAGCAATGGCAGCCATGAACTCCAGCGTTTTGGCATGCAACTATGCTATCTCAGGCAATGGATCGTCTGAGCTTAATGCCAAGCTTGCTTCAGTTTCTTCAGCTGCTTCCCCAGTTCGGTCTGGTGGTCACAAGTTGCCTGTGATCAGAGCCCAGCAGACTAAAGTTTCTGATTCCAAAGAATCAAGTGTTAGTGAAGGAAGAAGAGCTGCTATGCTCTATTTGGCAGCTACTCTTTTCACAACTGCTGCTGCTGCTTCTGCAGACGCTGGGGTCATTGATGATTACCTTGAAAAGAGCAAAGCTAACAAGGTGTGTTTGCTATGAAAACAAAAACAACAATCAGTATGCTAGGAATTTTTGTAGCTGTAGAGTAACATCGATTAACCTGATTAAGCTGGTGAACATTGCTGCAGGAATTGAATGACAAGAAGAGGTTGGCCACAAGTGGAGCAAACTTTGCCAGAGCTTACACAGTTGAATTTGGCAGCTGCAAGTTCCCTGAGAACTTTACTGGCTGCCAGGATCTTGCAAAGCAAAAGGTTCAAATCCAACATCTGCTTTTTTTGCAAGTTTTAGATGACGATTTCACGATGATATTTTGTTGAGAAATTTTTGTTGTGCTGTTGGTTTTGTGGATGCAGAAAGTACCATTCATCTCTGATGATTTGGACTTGGAGTGTGAAGGAAAGGACAAATACAAGTGTGGTTCCAATGTTTTCTGGAAATGGTGAAGAGATCCAAATGTATTTTTCACTTAAACCGTCGACTCTACCTCAACTTGTATCTAATTTTCCCATTTTAACAGACTTTCATATCCATTTGTTTTCTTATTTTTCTTTATATGTTTCTATTATATTAACTTCCATATTTCCATATCCAAATTTCATCAGAGTAATGCTGCAGAAACTAGTTAAAAGTTTCTAGATGAATCTTGGTTTTGCAGATTTGATGCATGATGATGCTTGTTTTCATATATTTTGGTTTGATACCCCTGGCATGTCCCAACTTACAGATCTTCTAACCATTTTTTCCCTCAGATTGTAGTTCAAATACCTGTTTATTTCATTTTGTCATTTTGCTCTAATAAATGTTATACTGGCTGAATATACAGGCAATGTGAATTATGTGATCTTCAATATTAAATCTACATCCCAACAGTTGCAATTTGCATCTTCAAAAAACCAACCCAAACAAGATATAGGACAAATAATGAAACGAGTGACAACAGCAATAGTAATGTAACTTTAGACCAATGAAAAGAAATTATGTGAGTTCTTTGTACATGTTCTGTGTCTATGAGGACTCTGTAGATGTTGGTTTTCTTTCCATGGGTTGAATGAACCTAGTCATGCCATTAATCTAGAAAGTGCCATCAAAATCAAAAGTGAAATATCACAACTAAAACCATCTTGTAAAATCCGATCAAGACCATACAAATCTGTACACCCAACCAGGCGCAACTGCTCAGTGGATCTTATATTTGACAAAATTGCAGGATACTAATGCAGCCGTAGCCCCTCTAGCCTGCATATCTCCCCATTTAGAGAATAGAGGAAAAATCACGAGCAACTGAAGCCCAGACTAATCTTGTTTGTGAAATTATTCACCTTAAGTGTCCAATTTGTTCCAAGCTTCCACAGGTGAAAAGCGATCCAAACCTGACAACTTCCATATGCATTCAGCAACTCACCACAAACTTCAGGCTATAAGCAACATGCTGAAGAGCCATTGTTCTGCAACTGGGGACATGGCAATGGAAACACAGCACTGGTACAACCTGAAACAAACTCACAATGCCATGCTGCAGTTGGGGCAAGTCCAAGTAGCGTAACATTCTTAAAGCATATCCCTTCAAATGATGCTCCCTGGACACCAGCAAGTACGGGGGCTTTTGTTGAATTCAAACTAACGATGTTACTAATGACAATCCCCTTTATTTTAGGAATAGCTTTAGGATCCCATCCGTCGTCAGGGTGATCATTGGAGCCTCTACTGACCCTAATGGGTATTTTGACTCGTTCCATGGTTATATTATTTATGGTGATATTTGCAATGTATCCCCCTCTACCCGTGTCAGTTTTTATGCGGACCCCAGCTGCTGAATTCCAAACATGCATGTCTTCAATAGTTACATTAAAAATCCCTCCAGACATCTCACTACCAATGCCAACACCAGAACAAGTTGGTGTAGTGCCTGAAATTCTCCTAACTATTATGTTTGAGCTTGGTCGCGCCATTCTGATGCCATACTGGTCCCACCCACTTTTCACTGCCACAAGATCATCTCCACTCTCAATATAGCAGTCTTCAATACATACATTTGTACTTGAGTCTGCACAAATTTTGATGACAATGTTTGAAAATATGCCTCCACTATGAGGTTTAGGTTGTTATAGGATAGATGCAATACGGAATAAAGTACATAAGAAGATGGAGAATGACACTAATGTACCTGGGTCTATTCCATCTGTATTTGGGGCATTAAGGGGAGCCAATATTGTCATGTCCTTAATAACAACATTGCTGAAGGAAAAAGTAGACAAACTAACTGTTACTTTCTTCTTATAATGTTAATCTTCAAGAAAACAGTGAGAAAGGAGTTGCCAACCCAAATTAATCACAAGTTTTATTCAATCCGATTCTTGTATTATCCATAAAATTTTAAGATAAACAAAGCAGCAATGGAACACAAATTGCAACCTCAAGTTCGTTTTAGTATCTCCCATGAGTAATTTTGGGGCGTAAATATCTAAATAAGAGAGGATACACTAGTTGAGCTATCTTAAGATATTAATCTTCTATAAAGTAACAGGACATGCTTATCAACTTCAAGCTGGAGAAAAAGAAGTTGACACTTCTTTTTACCTTAATAAAACTAAATAGTCATGTTAAAAAAATACAAGCAAAGAAAATAAATGGATAAACAAATGAAACAAAACGAGCTACTACAAGCTAGAGAGGCCAAACCTGCAGTAAATAGGATGAATGGTCCAAAAAGGTGAATTCAGGAAGGTTAAGTTAGAGATAAGAATGTTATGAGAGTTCATTAGTTCTAAGAGGTGGCCTCTTGTGTGCTTTAGCGTTCTGTTCCACCATAATTCCCACCACATTCTACCTTGACCATCAATTGTGCCATTCTGTCCTACAAAGTTAAAACAATTCATCACACATACTTGATAAATCCATCAAGAGGGCAGAAAACTTTCTAAATAAATTAAATGAAGATGGCATATCTTCTACCGATGGTCGACTAAATGAAAACTATGAAGTATTTCTTTTAGATGAATCAAATTGCAATACGTAAATCCTTAATGCAATTTTCTGGTATCTTTAGCTAACTCAACTAAAAAAATTCATGCCAGGAATAAATGTAGAGCTACTTCACTCTCCGAATAAATGCTATCAGGGGTTAAAATTGCATTTTTCACTGTATCCTAGAAATGAAAAAAAAAATTAAATTCTAACAACATTATTAATATTACCAATGGAAAACGATGAATTATTCCTGGTAGTATATAATGGTATTAAATTTAATAAACTAAAAGCACTCAAGAGGACTCCGTTTACTCTCTAGAACTACAAAAATTGCATTTGATTTCACAGGAAATAAGAACATTTTCTCTTCTCTAGGAGAAAAGTGTGGTTTAACTTTTAACTCCTATATGTCAAAGCAACTCTTTTTTGGCTTTTCATTTTTAATCATCAAAGTGCCATAACTATGTCTCCATCCATGTTATTAAAATAAATCAAAATAAAATTACCTGTAATCACAACATTGATAAGACCATCTCCATGAATAAGGCTTATATGTCTTCCTCCCAATCTCTCTCTCCCCCTACCATAAGAAGGCAATGGCTCTACAACAGGCCATTCCTCTGGGTCCTATTATTCATAAACACAAAAATTAAAAGAAAAAAAAAAAAACAGCAGGCTTTAGTAACTAATTTAAATAAATAAATGCACCCACAGATTTTTTTCAAGATTTACTAATTAAAGACTAGGAGCATAGACATATGATCAGCCACCTATCACCACTAAATTGCACCTATGCCTGGCACAAAGTTGATAAAGAAATTAATGGCATTACCTAAATAAATCAGAAAGAGAAACTGTTTGCCTATTTTATTAAGCAGCTGTTACCAGATGACAAGAAGCTAATTCACGTGCTAGCAAAAAACAAATACATGTATTTTGATTTGCTCAAAACATTCTTGGCATTCTCTATTTTTTTTTCTTTTAATAGAAGCAATGGAATCTACACAAGAAAATAGCACAATTTAAACTGAAATGAGAAGCAAAATATGTTTAGTGGGGCCCCTTTAGTTGAAGTTGCACATCAACACTTCCAACTTTGTTTCTATTCTAAAGAAAAAGGCTATGAGAAACGGTCAGAGCATGATAAACACAACATGACCAAACCTAGCTTTGTTCCAAACAAGGACTAATTGAAAATCTGCCTTCTCTTTCTACCCAACTTTCACAAAAAGCTCCTCTCCTTTTTCTTCCCTATTTTTCGGCTGAAAGAAGGAAAGAAGATTTCATTGAAAAGCAAAGTACAGAAAGTGGAAGAAAAGAAGAAACAATTCACACAGGGAAAACAGAGTAACCCACTCTGTTTTCTCTTTTAGAACATAATCTCATAATTCAAAAAAAAAAAAAAGAAAGAAAGAAACTTATATTCAATGCCCATTAATCAGCCAACTTAATCCTTCAAATTCCAACCTAAACCCAAAAAATTAAACAAGTTGAAACAGACAAAAAAACAGAGACTACAAAGCGTGGAGCAATTAAAACTTAAGCTTTCAACTAGTAGATATCATGTTCAAATCATAATTACAGAGAATCCAATATGAACAGAAAATTAAACAAAAAGATAATAATAGTAAAAACTGAGACAAAAACAGGGCATTGCTAACCTGAGAGCCTAAAATAACGGCTCCCTGTTCAAGAAACAACGTGAAATTACTGGTAAGATTAAAGCTTCCTGTTAGCCACTTCCCTTTCGGCACATTAAGCTGAGCCCCGCCTTTCTCACCAAAACGCTGCATGTAAACTAACGCCTTCCTAAACGCAGCCGTATTTGAGGTTTTCCCATCGCCAATTGCCCCGAAGTCCTTTATCGACATAACATGTTTTCTTTCCGGCAACTCCCCCAAAAATCCGGCGCAACTTCCGGGGTCGAAGCCCGATGCAACGTCGGGATTAGATGATCGGAGAACGGGAAAGAGTTGAAAAGGAATAATAGCTTTCGTGGTGATTTGGAGAGAGAGAACTGCTATTACTGTAAAGAGAAGAACAAGGAAAGCCCATGACGGTTTTTTGAAGTAAACCATTACCGCACCAAAATTTGGTTTCTCAGATTCCATTTTTGTTTAAGAAGAAGAAAAAAAATTGAATTTTGATTGCTGTAATTGAAAGAATTAAAGACTTTGAGAAAAAAATTTAAATGGATATTGATCACCTTGATTGCTTTTCATTTTTAAAGAAAAAATATATATCTTTACCTTCCATGCATCATCAACATTAATACAAGAAAACAAAATAAAGAAAATTTTATAATAAAAAAAGAAATTAATTTAATTGAATTTTGATAAGATTTACATGCACGAAGAAAGATTTAAAAAGAAAAAAAAAAGTGCTAAAAAGATATGTCTGTCTTAATGACTGAAGAATAAAACAGTGGGCTGTTTTTCTGCATACGTGAGAAAGACGAAGGTGAAGAGAAAGCTGAATGCCGGGCGCAGCGTACGGAGTCATCATGCGTGTTTTTGCAACCCACCTTAAAATATGAAGTTTGTCCCAAATTGTGGGTCCGGTTTGGAAACCTGAAATAAAATTTTCTACGATCCGGTTTGTTCGGTATAAGAGTTCGAATCACCGAAAAAACAAGAAGAAAATTTTTTATCTATGTGACCAATAGATAGCCGCCACGTTTAATTTTAGTCTATTCTTGCTAGTCCGTTAAAGAAGATGTGAAAATGACGAGGCCGGTCGTCACGGGATTCTTTGAAAGTTGGTTTTTCCTTTTTGGATATATATAAAAAATTAAAAGGAAATATTTTAGGAGGATATATTGCTGTGTGTTTACGATGCATACAGAGGTTTCATGTATGATTTTTAAGAGTAAATCATGATCGAACACGTGGGACCGTAATTTAGAATTGATTTCTCGCCTCAAGGCCGGCCCTCTACGAGTAAGAGGGTATTACCAAGTTTTCCCAAGTACCTAGTGCGGACAAATTTGATCCAAACGTGTAAAACTGGTTTAGCAAGGTTTACCAATTTCATTTGACTAAAATAAGTCAATAATTTAAATTTGTTCCACTTGAACCTTAATGGAATTTGAATTTAAATTAACTGGGATATGATTTAATTTTAAATTAAATTGATTCAAATTTGAAATAATTAAAATTCAAATTACCGAAATCTGAAATAAGCTTGACACGGAATACTTAGTCAAGTTTATCAAAAATTAAATTGAGTATAATTTTATTTTTTTAAAATATTAATTTAAATAAATATAATATGTAAAATTTAATAATTTTAAATTATCTTGTTAATATCTTTTCTTTATTATTATTTGTTAATTATGTTTAAAAAATTCGAAGTCTTTTTTTTTTTTACTAACGATATAATAAAAGGTAATGAAATAGATAAATAATAATTTTTAAAAACCAAAAGAAATCATAAACTTAAAATATTTAAATAAATCTAGTTACAACACACAAAACCATCTAATTAAAATGAAAAAAAAAAAATTCAACACCTACCTCTATCCTACAGGCAAAAAGAAAAAAAAAAAAATCTGAAACCCAACTCAAATTTTATTAACACCAAAATGTTACAAAAGTTACAGAATCAAACTGACGTACGTAAATTAACTCATAAGCAAATAATTCTAAATAAAAAAAAATTTAGTACCCTCAAAACTAGCGATTTCAAAGGATACATATACCAAATATGTAGTGAGCAAAGAGAACTCCTTTTGATATTATCTTACTTTTTTGTAGTGGTTATGGTGAGTTTTTTTTTTTTTTTTTTAAATTATTTAGTTATTTGATAATTTTCTATTCATTATTAAAGAGTAATAATATGAAACATTAAAATTAAATATTAGATATCAATAAATAAAAAATCATTAATAATTTTTATCATGAACAAAATTAATTTTATATTTAACATTTTTTTATGTTGTTAACAGATGGTTCTGAATTCATTTAATTTTTGCCATTTTAAATTTTATATAATTTAATTATATTATTTAATTTTAAAAATTAATAAATTAAATTTGAATGATATAAAGATTAAACTTAAATGAATTAAACTTTAATAATTTGAGAGTTAAATTTGAAACTAAAATTATTGGAGATTGATACGATTCAATTCGAATAAATCTAAATTTAAAATAATTTAAATAAAATTTGATCCAATTCAAAATAATTCAAATTAATTTTTTTGACCCAAATTCACTCCAAATTTTTTTCTACCCAAAATAATCCGACCTAAAAAAATGATCAAACTGAAAATCAACCCGACTCGCCATTTGCCACCTCAAGAAATATGCCTTAAAATTGCCTTTTTCTGGAACAGCAAAAAAGATACTTCCAAATTATTCCTTTTGCACCCCTCTTCCTTCCTTTTCTACATTTTTTTTTTTTCATACAATATTTTCTTATATTTCAAAAGTCACATCTTTATATTACCTTTCTAGGTTTTAAAAAATACGCTACTTCGTTGTCTATTAAGCAAGCCTATTAATTTACTTACATGAAAAGATTAGTGTGGGTACGTGTGCACACATTAATCCTAAATAAACAAAGAATATAATGCATGATGTTATATATTTTTTGCTAAGTCAAATGATATATCAACAAACACATCAAGGTAATACTATATTTTTATTTATGACTATATTCCCCAAAAATTTCGACTACATAGATACAATTAATTACAATGATATAACTTGCAATTAAACAATATTGCATACAGAGGCAAGCGTATATGTCATAGCCCACACGTACTCGGTTCAAACTGTAATTCTGTACAAATTCGAAGTTTGATTCTCGATCAGTAACATATGTTTTTATGTATCTTCCTACTTAAAATATTGTTATGCATAAATCCTTCTTTCGTCAAAATTATACTACTATATTATAACCGCAAAATCAAAGGTAGCCATGCAAAGCAGGGTCGGGCCTTTTTAACAGTGTGACTTTCGGCTATGTGGGTATACCTGTCAGTGTCCTTTTCCCTGAATTCGGAAGCCATTGAAAACGGGCCTTCAATTGCCAAAGACACAGAAGAATCATGTTCAATATTTTTCGCCTCTATGCATTCTTTAATTGTCCAGACATACTAGTGAATCTCCTCGATTATCAATAATCCTCCACTTAATTGTCCAATATATTGAATCCGAGAATATTGAGAACCCGAGATATTGTTTTTTTTTTAAATGATAATATTAAATATTAGATTAAATTACTTTATTAGTCACTTAATTATAATCATATTTTTAAAATTATTAAACTATTAAAAATTTTAATTTAATTTTAATAAATACTTTTTTAATCATTCAATTGATAATTTTTAATAATATGTTGACATGACATTATTGTATTTCGAGCGATATTATCATGTTATTTAATAGATGAATGACATTTCTAATATGGCATTATAATGTATTTTTGAAAAGAAGGTGGCCTTATAATATTAAATATTAAGAGTCGCTTTAAAATTATAATTATCAAAATTGAATTGGATATTAAATCATTTAATATTTCAGATTATCGGGTCCATAATTTAATCACTGAATCAATGGGTCAATTGTTAGTTTAATAAAAAAAATTATAGAATATATAAATATTTTAAAAATTTAAAATTCAAAATTTTAACTAAAATTTTAGTTTAATAACTCAACCATAAAACTATAAATTTTAAGGTATATCATAAACTATAAATTTTAAAATATAAAATTCATAGAACAATTAATTACTAGTTAGAAATAAAATTACTTAACATTTTATTAAAATCATATTTTATAGTTTAATAGTTAGAAATAATATTTATATTTTAATAAATATAATAAATAATAACTAATAAATAAGTACAATAATTATTATTTATATTTATTATAATATAAATATTATTTATTAATATATAATAATTAATCTTTATGTAATAAAAAGAAATATCTATATATAAAATTAATAAAAAGGAAATATTTATATTTATATGAAAATTAGTAAAAAGGAAATTAAAATCATTTTTATATATTTTATATGAATGTAAATTTTTTTATTAATTTTATATATGTACATTTTCTTTTATTAATTATTTTCGATCATGGTCAAATAATTAATCATTTTTATTAACATTTTACTTTTTATTAATTTTATGTATTATTAATTTTATAATTATTTTGAATTATGGTATCAATTAACAAAATTTTTTGTTAGATCATTTTTTTTTTGAAATTACTTATTTTTATACATGTATAAAATTTTTTTACAATATTCTATCATTATCCACATGTCGCAAAATATGCCAATATATCATTTATATAAGGATGCAAGGATGTTGATAGTAAAAAATAAGAATTGGGGAGCTTATTTAGATGAAATAATAATATAAAGGTTTAATTAAATTATTTTATCTAAACTTATTAGCTGGTATTAAACCAATCCGGTTTAAAAAAATTAATAGTCTGATTTACTAATTTATTATGTAAATTGTCGATTCATAATAATTTAAAGCGATTTAATTGCAAAACTGATTTAATTATAAAATCAGATCGGTTTTAACATTGATTCATCGGTTCACCTAGTTGAACTAGTGATCTGGTTCGATTTTGATAACTATGTTTAAAACTACTAGGCATTTTCTCATAATTTATTACTATACATTTATTATTTATTTATATACATGAAACTACGACGCGTTAAAGGGGTTGGTTAATACAATTGTGATAGCCATGATGGATATATTTTTAATTTTTAGGCAAAGTTTATCTAAATTCTTAAATATGAATTTATAGATTTTTTATCACGAACCTTTAATAATATAATTTTTATTCTATTTTTTGAATAACTTTTTTTATTTTTATATTTTATATATGAAACAATTAACAGAGTGTACACAAATTTTCACACTCCAAATCTTATAATTTTAAGTAGATATCAAAAAATTAGGTAAGAGAGAATTTATGAGAAAGACTTTTTAAAAGAATTATTGTGATTAATACTTATTAATTTCCAAAAGTATATGTGTTTATTTATATAGCACATATCTCAATTTTAGTGAATAAACCAAGATCAATACAATTTGCCCTATGCTAACTAGTTTGACACCAGTGTTGGTCTCTTTCCACATCTCTCTCATGTTCCCTTCTATCTTCTCACTTTTCCCTTTCCTTCATTCCGTTCGCTTTTTCTCCTATCCTTCATTCCCTCTCCCTCTTTCCCTTTTCTTTATCTGATTTTTCCCTTTTTTTTTTTTTTAAAAAATTATTATGGATTTGGTTTTTTAGATTTTTTATAAAGTTTTTCATATATATTCTTTATTTTTTAATTTTTTAGAAAATTTAAAAAGAATTTTCTATTTTTTATTTTTTCTAATATGGCAATAGATGATGTAGTGATGACTGAACATTTTTTATATGTGTCAATATTTTATTGAATATTCATATTATGTCAGCAACTTAACTATAGTAAGGTCAAACTGCTGGAAGGAATACAAGTTCAAGTATCTAATTGACAATTTTTATTCTCTGTTAGTTTCCAGACTTGCAACTTTCACGAACTTGTTAGTTGATGATGATATTCATATCTTCTGTTTTAGTCTCCCTTACAAGCCTTGGTTGAACCTAAGTTGGAATCTTTAAAAAACTAATGAATTGGTTTCTAGGCGCGTTACATATGCCACTTTCCT